TCATAAACTGACCCAAAATATTATGATTTTTCTGCAAAAATCAAAATGTTTGGATTATTTCGTAAACTGTCACAAAATACATATGAAAACATTTTTACATATTTTTTACACCTTAAGAAATGTTTTCAAAGTTCTTTTTTCATCTAAACATATTTATATGTATTATTAAAGACATGCATAAAAATATTTGAATAAAAAAAGAACTTTCAAAATGTTTTTTATACATATAAAGATAAGTTTTTATACATTTTTAAATGATTTTATACATGTAAATGTAAGTTTTTGATGATATGAAGATTGCGTGGGCTAATGTGAAGATTGTAACGCCATGATTCATATCGTTTCCTTTTCGGGGTGGTGATCAAGGATTGGGTATTAGCAGGCTTAGATCCTTGAAGAATTGAGTTTTTCGGCTCATTTGGAGGTAGGTGATGTATTTTGGATGACCCGAATATTCGGTTTGTGTTTTGGAGTCAAATGGTATTTTGGCAATTTGTCAGCTCGTGTTTCTATGGATAAAGGATTTATGTTCAGGAAATCTTAAAGCAAGTATGAATTGATAGAAGTGTAGAGCATCTCATAACCTTTTCGCTGATATAAGGATCGTTGGAATCAGGTTTATAAAGAAGGATTTATGGCCTTCAGAAGGTTGCAAGGTTTAAGGCAAAACCCTAGTACTCAGGGCGTACATAGGGTGTACGCGGGGGCGTGCTGAGGTCATATGTTTGATAGGTGTTTTGAGAAGAAGAAGAAGAAGAGAATCATATGGAGTTGTGTTTGGAGCTTCTAGATCCAAGAGTACCTCTCCATTTGCAAGTTTCCAACGGTAAAAAGCTTTGACCTTGATGATCTTTGTGTGTGGATCTATTTCATGGTGTTCTTGGGCATTGTTAAGTCATTTGATGAAAAGGTGGGCTTTTGATCTACTCCAGAAGTAGTGGATGTTAGATCTAACCCCTACCAAGTCCCTTGTTCATAAAAATGGAAACTTTTTGAAAGGTTTTGGTCCATGTGTGTGTTAAGCTCTTAATTAGTCCCTCCTTTAGGTGTTGAGTCCCATTAAGTTGTGTTTGGGAGTAAAGTTGGAAACTTTACTGCTTAAGACTTTGGTTAGGGACCAGATTTAGGTGTTGGACATCTTGACTTAACCCATTAAGAGTAAAGAAAGGGTTTTTGGACTCCTGATTAGTACGTTGGGCGTACGAGGAGGTATGCTCAATGTAATGCGAAGATTGTGCATCATGGTGTTGTACATTATGCTTTGTAGTCGCGTACGCGCGGCAGACGTCTTCAATACGCTGGGCATACTCCCCAGAAAGGAGTTTTAGGCTTTTGAGGTTTGGGTCATTGGTGGTTTTCCATAGTTTGGGCCTTGTTGGGCCACTAGATTCTTTTTGGGCTTCTGGTTGATATATGTTGGTCCCTTTTGTTTTTCGATGTTAGGCCCATAAAGAGGTTTTGGGGGGTCCTAATTTAGAAAATTAGGCTATAAGTGGGCTTAGAGTGATTGTTTTGTTGGTAGGCCTTTTGATTGAGAGTTTGGGGCCTTAGTCTTGGACCAAAATAGGTAGGGGGGTAAAATGGTCATGTTACCCCATATATGGATTATTAGTTTTGAAGTTTGGAACCCAATTGTTAATTGGGTGTTAATTGTTTGATAGCACGGATTTTTAGCGAATCTCCAGACCAAGAGTATCAGGGGGTTTCAGGTATGCAAGGTGAGTCTTCTCACTATATCCATGGGTCGAAGGCACCAATATCGGCCCATTACGTGTTATGTGGTATACTAGTTGTTTCTGTGATACTTGCATGGAAGACCCCGGGGGAGCCTATGGCAATTGGATGTCAGACCATTGGGTGGGTGGGGGGAAGCCCATGACATTCTAGAAAAAGACCATCGGGGGAGCCCATGGCATAATTAATAAAGACCATGGGGGGAACCTACGGAAGCTATATATATGTGCATGATAATATGTGGTTGTATGTGGTATGGAATTTTGGGGAACTTACTAAGCTTTGTTCTTATGGTTTTCAGTTTATGTTTTAGGTACTCCAGTTTTCAAATGAAAGAGCTCGGGATGATTGCAGAGCATACACCACATGTTTTCGTATTCTGTGAATTACTCTGATTTAATGATGTTTTGCTAAATATTGGTTACTCTGTTTTTATGGAAACAATATGTATTAACAATTTATTAATCTAAAAACAAAAAAAATTATGCCTTGATTTTCTGTATGTTACAAGTTGGTATCAAAGCCCTGGTTTGAAGGATTCGGCCATACTCTCGGGTGTATATGAACTCAAACTGAGGATTGGTAAACTTTTCAAAAAGAAAAGTATTTTCGAGAAAAGGGTTTTCTAAGATAAGAGAAGGGTGTGGTACATGCAATCTACCGAGCTCAAGTAAGTTTTTCTAAAATACTCATTCATGTTATCTGTTATGATTAGATTTATGAATCTATGAATTGCATGCTAGTTAGGACTAAGGATCTGTTCATTTCTTGTATGATAGAATGCTAGTAGAGATGCCTTTGTAAGTATATTGTATGAGCTGGTAGAGTTGCATGCTAGTACGGATTAGTTAGTGGTAGTTTGGCCTGATGTGTGATACCTTGCTACATTGGGTGAATTGGATGTTATGCTGAGATGGGAATATCTATTGGAATCAGTAATTGTTAAGTGTATGCTTTAGAAATTGTATACGGTTAGGATCTTATAGCCCTAGAATAATTGATTTGGAATTATTTCATGTTCCTAGTCTGGTTGTGGTTCTAGGGTAGAGTTTGTTATTCGACAGTCTATTTGATCATGTTTTGTGTATAATTTGCATGCATAAGGCAACCGGCAGTAAGGATGGAATTTCTAGTATAACTGGTGGTATGTGGGTTGAATGTTCTATGATAGTTCTATGGATTGGAGTGTCATTACACGAATATTGTTTGCTTTGTGCTTTGTGGAACTCGTAGATGATGAGAGTCAGCTACTAAGTGAATGTGATGCTTTCATGAGGTGGATAACTGCCATTATGGGGAATTCTTCGACAGCTGATGGTAGAGTGAGGTCGGGAACCTAGGAGAGCCTAAAAAGTGCTTCAGTGGGTCTTGTGGCGCGGTTTAATGAATTTTTGGTGCATCAGTTTGAGTAGGGAACTTAGAGGTTTCAGAATGATTCTTGAGGAAAGTATAGATAGGTGTGGAAGAAAGTATTGGGTCCGTACTACTGAAAGCACAGGATCGATACTCGAATCAAGAGAGTCTTGGAGAATCTACGAGGTTTGTAGCAGGAGGATTTTTTGGTGTGATTTGATCATTTGCAAGTTGTATTTCAGTTTGGTGATGAGCAACCAAGAAGGAGGTTCTAGTTCAAGTTTTGTCTCTCTCTCTCTCTATGTGTGTGTGTGTGTGTGTGTGTGTGTGTATATATATATATATCTTAATTACCTTATAAAGCATTTTTGGTCAAATGCTAAATTTTAAGTCGTACAAACATACAATGCATTTGTACAATCAATTTATGCATTACTAAAAGAGTAGAGTACATATGGTCAACAGTTGAAAATGTCAAATCTCTTATCCCCTTATTTTTAGGCTATTTTGACCCGATTCATTCCTTATCTCCGTATTTCCCCAAATCTCGCAATTTCTGTTCACAAATCTTAGATATATATCGCTGACGTTTCCATTTATAGGGTTTAATTCATCTTTCAGCATTCAACTACCATTATCACACTCGTCGTTTGGCGCGGGTAACGGCTAGTGTGTATGTATATATATATATATATATATATATATATATATATATATATATATATATATATATATAGGATATAGATCCGGTGAGAAATTTTTTTTGATAGGAAGGTAAGAAGTTTTTTTTCTACATATTTTTTTGACGAACAAAATAAATGAATCACTAGATGATTCATTTGTAAGATGATTCACAAGAAAAAATTCCCAAAAAAACATCTTTATGATTCATTTTTAAGTAAATTAAGAAAAAAATTATTTTTATGATAATTTTAGTGAATAACAACAAAATCATTGTATAAATGAATCATCGAGATGTTTTTTTGAGAATTTTTTCTTGTGAATCATCTTACAAATGATTCATTTTGTTTGTTTGCGAAAAAAATATGTAGAAATTTTTTTCTTTACCTTCCTACCAAAAATTTACTTCTTATTTGATCTTGACTCTCTCTCTCTCTCTCTCTCTCTATATATATATATATATATATATATATATATATATATATATATATATATATATATATAATTTGATGTCATGGTTTTAAAATATAAAACTTTACACAAGCTAAACTAGATAGACAAGTTGTTTTATATAAATAATAAGATAAAACTATCCGTTTTATTCTTTAATTTAATGGATGGAATTTGTATAATTATTGAATATTTCAAATTTTTATTAATTAATTAAATTTGTTTACATTATTGGAAGAGGATAGTCATTCCACTCGCAAGAGACGAGAAAGATTTTGCAAGTGTTGCTCATAGAAATTTAATAATTCCAAAACAAATTAAAAAAAATCGAAAGATATATATATATATATATATATATATATATATATATATATATATATATATATATATATATATATATATATATATATATATATATAATATTTTAGAGTATATTTACCACTTTAAACTCTGCTTGTGATAGGGACCCATGTATATATGATAGTATAGTAGGATACGTCTTTTTAACCCTTTGCAAGTAATGTGCTCAAAATATATGTTCTAAGCTTATTTCTGATTTATTATTATTCAAAATCAATCTGTAAAATAACTATGCTGAAAACGTATAACAAAATAAAAGAATAGATATCAACAACAAACCAGATTACTTTAATAAAATTATAAGTAGTTTTTTGTTATTTAAATAAGAATGTGCTTAAGCCCAGCCTTGAAGAAACTCTTTGATTCCTCATGTGCATTTAAAATAAAATTAAAAACAAATAGGAAAAAGTAAAAGAAAAGGAGGAAAATTTGGTTTGAAGAAATCTCTTGATTCTTGATGTGCATTTAACTCTCATTATTTGTCTTTCACCAAACACACACATAATTCAAAGGCCAAGTCTTGATCTATGTCTTTCACATTAACACTCCTTCTTGCAACATGTTACCTATGTATGTATCTCTTTCATTCCCTTTTGTTTTATTTGATTTTAACATCAAAATTGATCTTAATATCTTCATATGACTCTTTTAAGATGTCAATAAACACCATCAATGCATGGATTGTTATATGGCTTGATATGTTTTTTTGTGCCATTTTCTATTTGATAGCTTAAAATAAGCATGAAAAACTTGTTTTACACAACCAATGTGGTTTGTCTAATGTTTGTTTTAGTAAATATGTAATCTTAATGATTATCTGACCTTTTCAAATGACTATAGGACCCCTACATTAAGCATGTTTAGACAAGCCATGTTCTATTCTTGTCATACTTGGCATTAAGATCATGTGGTTGTTGATGTATCATAGTCAATTGAAATAATCTATTATAGTTCAAGTTACCATTTGTTTTTATACATACAAACTTTTAAAATGACCCGATCTCATTCTTTCTATATGTTGGCCATTTTAACTGACTATTATTTTCGGTTGAAATAATTTAATATAGTTTACTCCATGATATGTATGAGCAAAGTCTCGTGAAAATTGAAACTACTTACATAACTATAATACTATATTACATATTGTTACTTGTTATAACTCAATATTATTTAAAATAGTGATTGTTGCTACTCATAGAGTAACGAAAAAGAACAACTTATCATAAATAGTATTGTCTTTATCCTAGTCTTCTTTTTGTTCATGTTTTTTTTTTTTTTTTTTTTTTTTTTTTTTTTTTTTTTTTGTGCATATTAATGTCCATTCATTTATTTCATTATTTATAAATATTTATATGATAGAGTTAGATTTTTTTTGTCTTACACTGTGAAAACTGATGCCAATAGATTTGTTACACAAAGGTTCGAACAACATGGTTAAAGAACTCAAGTGGCCAATTTCTTGTGCTTTATTACCATTATTTTCAAAATTATTGTATTTAATATGTAAACAATTAAATCCACGAGATTTAATTAATTGACATACTTGGAAACAGATAAAAAAAATTACTAAAAAAAGTCAGCTTAGTCCAAAATAAACAAATTATCCTTTAAAAATTAATAAGATGAGTCCATAATCGTTTCTGTTGCGTTTTCTTTTGAGAGGTCAATTAGGTCAATATCAAATTCTCCTTTTGAAGAGACTAAAATGACCCCATGCTGTGGTATACTGAGAGGTCAATTTGGTCAGATGAGGAGACACCTTTAAGAAGCCTGAAAATGTGACCACTCAAACATGTCTCTCTTGGTGTCTAATTGCCTATTCTCATCAATTCACTTTATTTTATATATATATATATATATATATATATATATATATATATATATATATATATATATATATATATATATATATATATATATATAAAAAAGTGTTTCTTTAAATAAAATGTTTTGTATTGTATTAATCTCTGAAAATTACATTATTCTTTTTTTTTTTTTTTTTTTTGTAGATGTTGTGATGGTAGGGGCTGAAGATACATTATTGTCACCACCGGAAGGCAACATGACCTTTTTGGGTGGTACGAACTGGTGTGTTGCTTCACCTGGTGCATCGCAATCCGATTTACAAAATGCATTGGATTGGGCTTGCGGGTTAGGTATGGCTGATTGTAGTCAAATTAAACCCGGAGGACCGTGTTTTGAACCTGACACGCTATTTTCACATGCATCTTTCGCTTTCAATAATTACTACCAACAAAACGGGAATTCCGATGTTGCTTGCAATTTTGGAGGGAGTGCAACTTTGACAAAGAATGATCCAAGTAAGTTTATTCCAGATGAAATCATCAAACCAAGCGTAGCCAAATTGTTGAGTTTGATTTATTTTTTAAATAAACCAAAATACAACATTTCTGACAACTTACTATATCTTTGGCTTGTTTTGCACGACAGGCTACGGGAAATGCAGCTACACCGCATCTGGGTAAGACGATACTTAGTTCTTTTACATTTTTGTACAACCGAAAAAAAAAAATGATAATATGATTGTAATCTCTAATCATTTTCAAGGAATTGATAATCAGTTCCAAATGAAACTTCATGTTTTAGATTCAAACAAAAAATTCGAACAATCATCCAGTTTGTCATAAAATAATCTATTCGTATAGTATAGCTGGCATGAATAATGTATTATAATATGTCTATAAGTCAATTGATTGTTGCTAAAAGTTTATAAAGTAAAGGCTTAATGTATATTTTTTTTTCCTTCTTCTAGGCCAACAAAATCAGAAGGGGCCTCTATATGGAAGTTAAATTGGTGGAAAAGTGGTGGGATTGTATTGCTTTTGTACATGGGAAGCTAACATTGAATTAGAAGGTAGGGAGGGTGTCTTTGATGTTGGTTTAGGAATCTTCTTATATGTCATTTTTGTAATTTACTTTACTTAAAACTAGAAATAAAGTTTTCTAATTGGATTTTAGTATTCATTATACTATTATGTCAGTTTTCTTTATCATCTGATGTGATAGCCTTGGTTTTTATTTCTTGACACAGTTGAATTGGAACGAATGTGGACAAGGAAATTAGGCTTTTTTTGTAATTTTGCATATTTAAATACGTACCAGTTTACGCTAACCTTCATTTCATTGATTACTTCGTTTAACTTTCTCAATCTTATTAAGTATATGTTTATCTTGATAGATTAAAGTAATGTAGTTTATATAATTATTAAGACTGTTTTTTTTAGTTATATAATTTTATATAAGTAACGGAGAACTTATAACTTACCATAGGGCATAGGCATTTCATTTTTCGAGACCTGAAGCCATCTTGGGCTTATTTAAACCCAACTTTCATTTAGCCCAACACTTGGATGTTATGCAACATTAGTTCGGATATAAGTAAAATACAAAGACATGTTGTTCACTTTGAGCAAATATTGATTTTACCAATTAGAAGTTAACATTAGATATAAAATAACATGCAAATTAAAAATTCATATCCAATAATGAAGTTGCGAAAAATAAAATTTAGGTTTCAATACGTAACCAGAAAATAACAAATATACAATCTAAATGGTTGTCTGGTAGCCTTTTAAATTTTCAATTAATAATAAAACTCTTAATGAGCGTTTAATAGTCTTAGCACAGCCTCTTAATTTATAAGAGAGAGTTTTATCTGAATAAAAAAATGAATGTGTTATCATAATTTTTCAACGAATGTTTTTCTCTTTTCTCTTTCTATTTAACATGATCATCTCTATTTTCTCCGGATCTAGCACTTAAAAAGAAATATAACTTCAACCAATAAATAATTTAAAATACAAGTAATGGGCTTCAATTTCTACAAATTTATGAAATTTAAATTAACAAATCGCATTAGTTTGTCAACAAAAATCTTTTAATCAATTTAGTTGACAGTTTGACACGTATAAAAAGTTAAAAATCTTTTGCAAATAACTCAAAGTAATAAATAGATGGTTATGTACAATTTGCTAGAAGAAATCCAAGCATTAAGTTTTCATAAATTTACCAAAAATCACAAAAAAATAATAATAATGGTAGACATTTTAAAGAGCCGTAAGGCATAGAAAATTAAACATATAACTTTTGACAATTATAGAAAAACCTCAAATAACCATTTTAGGATTTTTAATATAGAGTATATGCACATAGTCACGCTAATGTAAAGTCTAACACACGATAAATGTATTAATCAGGTTCCATAAGGAAGTCCGAACCACATAAAGTTAAACTATGAATTACTATCGAATAGCCAAATTGAAGATGTGTAAAATCATAGAACGGAATTTCACCTACCATGAAAGAATTGAAAATATAAACAAGGATGATAATAATACGTTCACAAAATATATTAGCACAAAATCTCACCAAAAGAAAATTAAACACATAAAATAAACTCATAATCATTTACAAATATGACTGTCTAATTTTCATAAATATAAAAGATAAACCATCTTTAACCACCGCATTTACACAGTATAACATTTTTTTACAAAAATTCTTAAAAAATAGAAGAAAGTGAATATGACCAATTTACAAATTTAGAGAGTGAAATAAAAAAAGTGAGTGACCACACCCTTTGGTCTAAGCACATGTTATCAATCAATAATACATGTTATCAATCAATATTCAATAATGTAATGAAAATTTTAGTACACATCAACAAGCAAGCGAAACATTTAAAAGAAATTATTTCCTCACAACATTATGCAAATGTACAACTACATTATATGCAACAAATAATACGTATGAATTTAAGACGTCTCACATGACTTCCAAAAAAACAAATAATTACACAAGGCATAAAGCTTACATATTTCATGTAGGTTAAAATACTTGACAAGTGAATCAAAGTAATACGCATTACGCAATTGAATCATGAAATATCCGTAGGCGTAGCAAGTTAAATCCAATAATCAAACAAAAGCAGAAAAATCCAACAAAATACTAGTTTACCATCACATTGTACATATACTACAAAAAAATCAAAAAAAAAACTCGAAGGACAAAGTTTTGAATCTCCAAATACCGAGAATGCATTTATCAAATTTGGTGGATAACAATTAAATATGTTTATTTGCACTTTTGGGCTAGCAACATACTCTAAGGCTATTTGGTATGGGTAGCTTCCTACGAGTGGATACAACCACATAAGGGTGTAATTGTCTTGTGGAGTAGAGTCGGTCACGGATGAAGATGAGTGTATTGATTGGCTAAATCTTAAAATGTTAATTTTCCAAACGAATGAACACCTAATTGCTTCGGCAAGAAACAAAAAAGTTTGTGAATTACAAACGTTCGTGAACCGTGGGGTTGAGTTTGTATAATAGTACTTGCTATAAAAAGGTAACGTACGATATATGTAATTATTTATTTAAAATATAATATAATTTTTAATGTTAAATAGGACCTGAAAAGAGTTGAAATATTTCGCGTTGCTCATACCGATAAAAATAGTGTATTTGTTACTGATATAACGGAGCAGCAATACGTAATTTATCATATAATTAAGAATTTATTTATCCTTAATTGTTAATCATTTTTGGAAAACACAAAAACGGTTAGTGGAAGAGCTCTTAAAACGAACACAATGGTTAAATGGTGAAAGAGATTTAGCACCCGTTGAAGAAAGAGCTTGTTTCGAGAGAGTATTAGGTGAACGACGTGGCCATATCAGAGGCATCGGCCTAAAATCTTCTGCTATATCGCCGATTGCACAATCATCGCAGCTACCACCACGGTCATATCAGAGGCATCGGCCTAAAACCTTTACTGAAATTATTATAAAGGCACACTTTTTGAAATTATTATAAAATCTTCCCTTTCTTTCTTGTAGTTATACTTATAGCATAACTTTTTGAAATTATTATAAAGGCACACATCCAAATATTTCATAAGTATAGATTAATAAAAGCTCCAATGATAAGTTTTAGAACATTTTAACGTTTACAGTTTTGATTTTTTTTTTGGTTGTAAGGGAGGAGGGAGTCGTTTCCACCGAACTTACTTAACCCATTGTCATATCAGTTTTTCTCTTTGATTTTTCTTCATCTTTTCCAACCCACAACATACGAAAATCCGATCTTTCTCAACCCACTCAATTAAAAAATACTAAACAACCAAGGTACAAATCTTAAAACACATGGTACAAGTGAAAATGAGAAAGAGAAAGTAGATAGAGAGGATGAAGTGGGTTCGTGAAACCAATTAAACTACCCGCCGAAGAGGAAGTGGTACCGGCAATAACTCTATTGCTAATTAAGATTTTACCTTGATTATTTTGTATATTTTTTTAATTAAGTGGGTTGAGTATGTTGAGAAATATAGGATTTCCATGTGTTGTGGGTTCAGAAAGATAAAGAAAAATCAAAAAGAAAAATTGATGTGGCAATGGGTTCAGTGGGTTCGATGGGTTCAATGGGAACGATTCCCTCCTCCCTAATAATTAGTTTTTAAAAAACAGATAAAATTTTGTTAAAATAAGTCTTGACTTTTAAAAGATAAACGTAAAAATCCTTAATTATCATGGACCATAGAATTACAATTATCTAAGTATAATGTTTGAAATCCCACTATCCAAAAACTTCGTAAATACATGATTTAGGGATATTTTTGTTAAGAACTTAAGATGTCTAACGAAAGAAAATAAAAAAATAAAGATACAGTTATATTATTAAAAAATATAAAATAATAACCAATACAATCTAGTGGATATAGAGTGACCAACCACAGATAGCCATGTGGACATCAAGGATCATAGTTTATCCTACTTCAAGTTTCCATGGCCATAAACCCTTTCTCTTTCATGTAGCTTCTGCTTTAAGATCATTCACAAATCCATTTTTCAAACTCAAAGAAAATCACAAATGGCAACTGCTCTCATGTCTTCTCTCCCTCAATTCACTGGCCTCAAAGCCACCTCACCATCACCCACCCCAATCCAAAGCATGGTAAGTTTAGTCTACTTCTTGTAATAGTTTTTTTTTTTAATCATTGTGTCGATTTTTTGTTTTTAAATTAACAAATGTCTTGTGTAGAAACATGAAAAAAGTCATCTTATATTGCCAAAAACAATATGTAACTGGTAAAATTGCTTTTATGCGTTGAAATGAATCGGTGCGCGGGTTGACATGATTTGTCCAAGTTCTTTTCGTTGTTAAAAATTGCAAGTATATTAGATATAATGACAAAAATTATATTATTATAATAATATATTAAAATTTGAGTATACACAAAAATCCATTTTTAAGCAACTTTTACCTTGTTACTACAAGCTATAAATATTTTTACCGACCTCTAGTTTGCAGCAAGTCAAAATAAGGTAATTCAACAAGTCAACCATGATCGGCCCTTTTTCGTTGTTGCAAACTAATAGTGATTGTTTCATAAATGAGAAAGTAAATTTGTAAGAACGAATGGTTTGTGTAGATATATAAATATGAAAAAACCATCAAATATGTATGTTTGATTAAATGTAGTGGTTTATTATAATAAAAAGGTCAATATATAATACCCAAAAAGTTCATATGTTTCTTAAATAAAAATGTTGATCAACTTACCATTTGATAATAATAAATAAATAATTAATTAATTAATTAATGTTTTTTGGAGGAATTTCAATTTACTAGTAATCACTCAAGTGCTTTGTTTTTTGTTTGTTCTGATTATGCAACGACATCAAATGTTTATAAATCTTATATCCCTCTTAGTAACTAATTTATATATTATAAAAAACACCGTTTGTATTTTCGATCATCGTTATTTTTCACATGTTATACTTAAAACTGATGTGGCTATAAACATACAACCATGTGACAGGTAGCATTACCAATGAAGGCCAAGGGAAAGGGAAAGGGAGCTTTAGGTGTTCGTTGTGATTTCATTGGGTCATCCACAAATTTGGTAAATTATTTCTATTTATATACAATTATTATATCAAATGCATACATGACAATAAAACGAATAGTTGAGAGTTTCTATATGCTAATTGTCTGGATATATAGATCATGGTGACATCAACAACCTTGATGTTGTTTGCTGGTCGATTTGGATTGGCACCATCAGCAAACAGGAAGGCAACTGCGGGGCTAAAGCTTGAGGTAAGGGATTCAGGACTCCAAACTGGCGACC